GTGGGTGCCCTGTCCCATCTTCTCCCCCCCCCCCCCACTCACCATTCTCACTGGGATCTTCGCTGTAAGCAACTGTGGTTGGCCCTAAATCAGAGGGCCCCGTGCAGGCAAGAGCCTGGTTAAGTCAGGTGCACTTCGCCGCACTCTTCTGAGCAGATGCAGTTTTTGAGAATTGCCTACAACATCGAAAAACCTTTACTATTAGAACTGTCTTTATTAAGAATTAGAAACTTAGATGAAATAGTCAGAGAAAGACAAATGCCATATGATTTCACTTAATGTGGAATCTAAAGAACAAAATAAGTGAACACACAACATTGAAACAGACTCATAGTCACAGAGAGCAAACGGGTGGTTGCCCGACGGGGGAGGGTTGGGGGGCTGGGAGAAAGGGGTGCAGGGACTGAGAAGCACAGATCGGTAGTGACAAGAGTCACGGGGACGTGAAGCACAGCGCCGGGGACACAGTCAATCACTGTCATAGCTTGTGCGGTGCCAGGGGCGCTAGACGTACTGGGAGGATCGCTCTGTACGTTGTATGTGTCTAACCACTGCGCCGCACTCCTGAATAGTATTGAAAGCAAACTGTGATTGGGGGGGGGGAAGAATTGAAACTTAGAGAACTGGAGAGAGATTTCTTTTGGGAAGACATTTGCTCTAAGACATAAGATCATTTTTAAAGGATGAAGCAAGTCGTTAGAAATTCAGACTGTAGGGAACAATAGTCAGGACGTTCCTTTTGACCCCCCCTGACCCATTCCTGAGCACAGGGGCGAGACGGGCCGTCCGAGCTGCGTGTCATGTGATTTGCCTAAAATCACAGAGCTTGGTAGAGGCAGAGCTGCTTCTACAGGTCCTGTAAGCTGTTCCTGGGGGCGTCCCCAGGGTCTGTGACAGCTGGCCTGTGACTCCTGAAACGGAGTCGGTGTGGCAGGCACGTCTCATCCGCGTCCACCGGCCACGAGCAGCTTGTATGGGCCTTTTCTCGGGTGGACGTGACGCTGCTGGACCCGAGGCTGGACGTCAGGGGGACAGAGGCAGGTCGCTGTGCAGCCGCTGGCGGGACGGGACTCCAGCTCTGCTCAGAGCCCCTTGGGTGCCCGCTGTGCCGCCCCCGGAGGCCCCGTCGCCCCCACGGAGGCCGGCGGGCTGCAGCTCCCCCAGCCTGCCCAGGACCCTGGCAGACAGAGGGGCGGGAACACGCGGTGTCCGTCCGAACTGTCTCTGAAAGTGCTGCTGGGAGGCGGCCGAGCACGTTTACATGTTTATTGAGTGTTAGCCTTTACTGTAGGCCGGACCTTGCGCTGGGCACGTGCAAAATTGCCAGGAGCCGGTGTCAAAGCGGGAGGGCTTTCAGGGGATGCCAAAAAACCCAAAACTGAACTAAAAACAGTCTCATGCACCCTAATTTCTCCTCTTGCTTCTGGGGAATTTTCGCCTGCAAAGCCGTCCTTGTCCTTTAACTTAAATCAAACCCCCCTGGTGAAGAGGTCTGTGAGGGAGGCATAGTGAGCGTGGTGCACGTTGGCACTTCCACAAGGTCTGGAAGCTTTCCAGAGCCTTTGCCGCTTCGCCCATCCAGAAAACTATGCTTGGTATTCGGCTACAAGCAGTTCTAATAAATAAACAAAATACTAGCGCATATCACCTGTTGATTTTCCTGCTTGGCACAATTTCAAGCTTGAGAACAATTTATGACGGCGTTTTAAATGTACAGAGCTTACCGCCCTGAATAATTATATAATTATGGGGTTTTACTGTTCTTCTGGCCCCCATTGCAGCAGGCTGCGTGCTCTCCTGTGGGCCCCAGGGTGGCCTGGTTTGACCCTCCATCCCTCAGACGTGTGTTTTCAGAGCTTCTGTGGTTCCCCTTGGCCTTGCTCACTCGTTGATCGGCAACTGACGCTCAGGGGGAGCAGGGCGGGCGAGCTGCGGCCCAGCACAGAGCAGGCCAACCGGGGCCGCCTCCCGCCCTCACCCCAACAGCTTTGTCTTCGCCTTAACTCTTTTCCTTCAGATTCAGCTCAGTTCCTTGCTCCAGTTTCCCAGCTCTCTGGGGTCACTGCTCAGTTTCCTTGTGAGACTGGTTGTTCCGGGCTCAAGGTTGGGAAAGACAGAGATACAACTAGCTAAGAATCCCATAGTCGCTGTGCCCGGACAGTTTCTGTTGGGTCTTAGGAGGAACTGAAGGTTCCCCCGAAGTGAGTGGTTGGGTTTGTGAACCCGCATCTCCCGTGTACTGTGTTTTGGTTTATTGTTTTGTGGATTTGGTTCCTCCGCTGGCATCTTCTCTCTGCGCATTCACCTATCGAAGGTGTTACCGATTTTTAGAAACGCAGAAGACGGCAGTTCACAAGCTCCTCTTCACCTTCTTCCACTCGTCACTTGTGATTTTGACAGTCAAAGGCCTTTACTGTTTCTTCCTTAAATTCCTATGAAAGATCAGACGGTGCTTACCCTTTTAGTATTACAGTTTCTCTTTTGAAAATTAGGATATTGGGCACAATGGGCTCCTTCATATTCTTCCATGGCAGCCGTCGGCTGGCCCTAAGGAACGGCTTCGTCCCTTAGTGGAGACATAGGCTCTCCGGGGGGCAAGACCCACCCTTTCCCCACTGCATTAAAGCTGATAAAGCGTCTACCTCGGCCGCCTGAGTCATCTGTTGGGCATCTGAGTACGTGATTTTTGCAGCCCTATTACAATTCTAGAGATAGTCTATCTTAGGACTGGAGTCCTGGTTTCACCATTTGCTAACTGTGTGACCCCTTGAGGCAAATTACTTAATCTCTCAAGGCATCAGCTTGCTGTCTCTAAGATGGTGATAAGAATAGACCCAGGGCCTGGTGACGCCTTCTTCCAGGAAGGCCAGTTTCTGGGAATTTCGGTCAAGATGGTGGCGTAGGTGGACGCTGTGTTCACCACCTCCCATGACCACATCAAAATTACAACTAAATTATAGAACAATAAACCTAGAGACTAGCTGAACAGAAGCCCTGTAACTAAGGATTAAAGAAGCCACGTTGAGACTGGTAGGAGGGGCAGAGACGCAAAATGGGCCGGCCCCCCACGGGTGACGGTTGAGAACCGGGAGGGATCTCTCAGCGTCAGAGGTTCCCCCTGAGGAGCAAGGGTCCCGGCCTAGAGCACCAGAGCTGGGAAGAGGGGCCCATATAACGTCTGGCCGAGAAACTCAGCAGGGGTTCTGTCTGTCCTGGTGAGACAGGAGGCTGCTGGAAACCCAGCCATCCTCAGGCAGGCACTCACCCTGGGCTCCAGCAGAGGGACAGTGGCTCGGGGTCACCAGAGACGTACAGGAGGAAACCGAGTTGTGCGGCTTCAGGGTGAGGGCTGGAGGGACAGCTGCCAGTGTCCCTGCTTAAGCCCTCCTCCAACGTAGCCGGTAGGTGGGGGACATCTTTCCCATGTTGAGCCTTTCCCCCCCACAGTCTAATCTAAATCTGCATTAGCTGGTGAACTCCACTCACTCCGCCCTGATGACCCCCTGAGACCCCGACCCACCCAGCTCAGGCCCCGCTGGAGGCTCTGGCAGCAGTCAGCAGCCGTGGGCCGAGCTGCAGTCTCAGAACACTCTTGAGGAATTCCAGTCAAACTGGGGGCAGGGTGGGGGGCCAGAGACATACAGGAAGCATATACCGGTAGGAAGAATTAACGTTGTTAAAATTCCCATACTGCCCAAAGCAATCTGTAGATTCAGTGCAATCCCTATCAAAATACCAATGGCATTTTTCACAGAACTAGAACAAATAATCACAAAAAAAACCCGAAACAGCCACAGCAATCTTGAATAAGAAGAAAGTTGGAAGCTTTACACTGTCTGGTATCAAACGATACTACAAGGCCATAGTAATCAAAACGGCATGGTCCTGGCATAAACACACACACACATCAATGAAACTGAACAGAGAGCCCAGAAGTAAACTCACACCTCTATGGCCAATGAATATTTGACAAAGGAGGCAAGAACATACAATAGGGTAGAAACAGTCTATTCAATAAATGGTGTGGGGAAAATTGGACAGATACATTTAAAAAAATGAAACTAGACCACCTTCTTACATCGTTTACAAGATTAAACTCAAAATAGATTAAAGATTTAAATATAAGACCCAAAACCATATAACTAATAGAAAAAAAACATAGGCCGTAAACTCTCTGACGTTGCTTATAGTAATTAATATTTTTTCTGATATATCTTCTCAGGGAAGGGAAACAAAAGAAAAAAATAAACAAATGGTACTACATCAAACTAAAAATTTTTGCACAAGAAAAGGAAACCATCCACAAAACGGAAAGACAACCTACTGAATGGGAGACATATTCGCCAACGATACATCTGATAAGGGGTTAATTTCAAAATTTATAAAGAACTCATACGACCTAACACCAAAAAAACCCCCAAGCAATCTAATAAAAAAATGGGCAGGGGGCCTGAGCTGACATTTCTCCAAAGAGGACGTTCAGATGCCAATAGACCTGTGAAGAGATGTTCAGCATCTCTAATCATCAGAGAGACGCAAACTGAAACCACGAGGAGACGCCTCACGCCTGTCACAATGGTTATCACCAATAAATCGACAAACAAGTGTTGACGAAGGTGTGGAGAAAAGGGGACCCCCGTGCACTGATGGGGGGAATGCAGATCGGTGCGGCCGCTGTGGAAAACAGCATGGAGGTTCCTCAAAAAATCAAGTGTAGAACCACCACATGACCCGGCATTTCCACTTCTGGGTATGTGTCAGAAGAAACCTAAAACACGAGTTCAAAAAGGCATACGCACCCCTATGTTCACCGCAGCATATTTACAACAGCCAAGATATGGAAGCAACCCAAGTGCCCCTCAATGGACAGCTGAATAGAGAAGTTGTAGTGCATACATACAGCGGAATATTACTCGGCCGTAAAAAAGAACGAAATCTTACCCTTTGCGACCACGTGGATGGATCTGGAGGGTATTAGGTTAAGTGAAGTAAACCAGCCAGAGAAAGACAAATGCCATATGATTGTACATGTGGAATCTAAAGGACAGAATAAACAAGTAAAGTTAAAATAGACTCACGGACACCGAGATCAGGCTGATGGTCGCGGGTAGGGTGACTGGGGGACCGGCGAACAAGGTGAAGGGACTGAGAAGCACAGGTCAGCTGTCACAAAATAGTCCCAGGGATGTAAAGTACAGCGCAGGGAATATACTCAGTAATATTGGAATAACTATGAATGGTGCCAGGTGGGTACTTGAAGTATCGGGGGGATCCCTTCATAAATTATGTAAACGTCTGACCACTGTGCTATACGCCTGAAACTAGTACAAAATAGCACTGAATGTCAACTGGAACTGAAAACCGAAAAAGGGAGTAGCTCCTAGCTCAAGAGCTGCTTTGGAAAATTAAATGTCGCGTGCACGTGAAGGACTTAGGATGGTACCTGGAACATAGTAACACTGACTAGTTAAACGGTTAAGCGCCGTTATTAACCATGATTCCGACTGACCGCTGTCCCCGCCCTCCGAGAGTGGTGTTCAGCAGAGCTGGAAGGAGAAACCTTTCCGGGGATCGGCCTAGATTGTGACCTAGGCCTTGGGAACCTTGGCCATGGAAGCGGGGTTGCGGGGTACAGTGTGTGTGGCTCTGGCTTCAGACCGACACGATTCACGTTCAATCTGACATTATGGGGGCTTCGGGAAAGTTACTTAACCTCTTCCTGACTCGGTTCTCTCGTCTGTAAAATGGGTATGATACGAGTTACCCACTTCGCAAGGTTGTGCTGAGGAGCAAGGGAGGCGATGCCTGCAGAATGTTCCAGAGGGAACACGGGAACTCGGTGGACGTTACCCGCTGTTGGGAACAGCAAAGCGCGCGTTTGCCGCTGGGGGTGGAGGTAGAGTGTTTCAGACGGGACGGTCACCGAGCGCTCGGGAAAGGGCGAAGCTGCCACTCTGGCCTTTGTTTCCCAGGTGAAGGAGCTCGGTTCCCTGCAGCCCCGGTTCTGTGCCCCATGCTCCTAAAACTGCACTTTCAAAGGCTCGCCTGACCCTGGAGTCACAGCCGGCGTCTCTGCCTCGTGCTCCGGAGGGGTGACAATTCTGGACACCAACCAGCCTAACATCGCGACTCTCAAAAGAGGAGGCCGAGCCCGAGACGCCCCGCGGCCACCGCCCACGGCCAGCCTGTGACCCACCGAGGCCCCGCTTTGCTGGGTTGCACGTTAGCTAAATGACAGTGAGTTTATATCTATTCTGACCGGTGGGGGGCTTCCTGGAATCCAACATGTGGCTGGCGTAGGACGCCCCTCACTCCTCTCTAACCTTTAACTCTCTCTGGCCCACAAACCTTGCTTAACAGCATTTTGAGGGGGCTGCACTGTCTCCGCCAGCGGGACCCAGCCCTGTGGCCCCCACGGACCAAGCCCTGTTTCCCGATGGGTAATGTTTCCCCCCCGTGACTCGCCTTCCCGGCCGCGTCCCGCTCTCCCTGCCGGCTCATTTGTTTCCCTGGGCCGCCTGCCCCGTTGGTGGTTTTTAGTGAGGATCTGAGCGATGCCAGGAGGCGAGGGGAAGGGCTGCGAGTGGGCTCAGCCATTGGCCAAGCGCACGGGGTGATGGTGATGGATGAGCCTCCCCCTGGGGGGGTTTCGGGTCAGCAGGAGTCCAGCTGATAAGTTTTTCCAGAGTTGAGTAACCCAGAAACAGCGCCTGGAGCATCTCACCTCTTCTGTGGTTTCTGTATCGATCTTAAAGGACATTCTCGGCGGCAACGCCACATCCTGCTAGAAATACAACTACGTCCATCATTGACTCAGACACGCGAGATATGAACTGTCTTAGAAATAACAGCTGATGGAGAAGGGTGGGGGGAAGGCAGAGAGGGTCTTTAAAAATCCCCCTTTCAAAATATTTTCTTTCTTCTGGGCCTCGAGAAGGCGCAACCTAACCCTCTCTTTGCCTGGTGATCTCATAGCTATTTACTGCGGGGAAACACCAAATGTTTATTTACTTTCCTGAAGGAGCCTCTTTGGGTGACTCACGGCGCTATCGTTTTCCTCCGGCTACGAGGCTGGGAGACAGAGGGACACCCGGGTGCGATGCGGGGCCGGAACCACCCCTGAGCTCAGGGGGGCTCTGACGGCCTCTGCCCCCCTGCAGGCGTCCTTGAGCCCTGGAGACGGAAGCCGGCGAGTTTCTCACTCCTCGTGCAAAACAACCGTCTAAACATAACAGATGACATCAGCGTGGGCTTTTCAATTCCTGGATGGCCGTGGCGGCTGCCGCAGGCTCCATCCCGGGTTCACACGCTGGGCCAGGCGGCGGGCAGGGCCGGGCGGCCGCTGAGGAAGCGGGTGACGGCGCCTGCGGGCGGCCGGGCGTATAAAGCTGCGCACGTGGAGGCCGCAGGAGGAGCC